TCCCCATGGTCTGTCGAGCAGTTTCCGCAGCAGTAAGCGTTGTTGATGATGCTGTCGCACAATCTAACGATCCTGACGTCTGGTGGTGACCCTTGGTCTTCCACTACGTGATCGGTCATCTGTAGTGTTGGTGGTCTGGCACCGTTGCTGGAGCCCGTATATGGTCCTTACGTGGACTTGAAATGCATTGGCTACTTCCCGGGCGGTTTGTCCAGCTTGCAATCGTCCAAGGGCTTGGTGTCGCTGATTTCTTGTCAGTCTTGGCATGTGGTAGCAATTCAATAACGAATGAATGTTATCCGATCTGGGTGAATTTTTATAGGGCAAGAAATGGGGGAACGCATGTGCATTTTAATTTGCACGGAACTCACGTGCATCGAGTTACCACGGTCATTGCCGTGATGCGTTTGGGCGATCGGTTTTATTGTCATATGCTTTGTTTTTTTATTATCAAATTTCCTTTTTCCGGGCAAGGTAATGTTAAATTTTAGAAACTTTGACAAAAACTACCCAGATATTTAAATGACAACCTTTTATGCATGTACCAGGGGGTGACGTTTCTTTTGCTGTTCAGTATATATACGTATAATGTGTATGAAGTATGTTCAATACTGTATGAGAGTATTGTACACTCTTCATTCGCAACATCAATGTAGCTACAGTTCGGTTTGAGAAGGCTGTAGAGTATTAACCAGTAACTACAACAAATGAATTTTAATTATATGTCTATAGAGGAAAGGGAAAAGTCTTTAATCGAGAAATATGTTTTCTCATGACACAAAAGAATAGTGTACCTTTATAGCCGTGTAACGTTTCAGCCACAATTTTTCTACAAATAATAAACTTATAACGAACTGTGAAGCAGAACTGCTTGTACTCGCCGGAACTAATGCCGGTTTTTTAATGCTTGCACACCAAGGTACCATACCGACAACAAGCACCATCTTGTAACATCTTTTGTTAAGGCGTGGCCCTGGGGTCGAACCCCCGACTTTCTCCTCTCCAGGCAAAAGCTCTTTCCACAAGACCACGGTCCGGTCCTTTATTATACAAAATTTCAAGGGCAGATTTAGTATTGCTAAAAGTTTTTTACACCATTATCAGATATGATGTTATGAAATATTATTATGACAATAGTCAAAGATTTAGTCTGTCTTGTCCTCGTTCTAAATGGACATGATTTTATTATTATGTATTATTACCCTTCCAAGTGTTTGTATATATTAAGTTGATAATATGAGTGAAGGGTACATGTATCCTATATCAATACAGTAAACTACGGTTATAACGAACTCAAAGGGACCACTAAATTTAGTTCGTTATAACCGTAGTCCGTTATAAGCATATTTACAACATATACACAGCAAATGGACGGGACCAAAAAACAGTTCGTAATATCCGTCAGTTCGTTATAAGCGTGTTCGTTATAAACGTAGTTTTCTGTACTCTCTGTTATTGCGTTATACATGTGCATGTACACGAATGTACAGAATCACATAAACCACGTGAACATAATACCCTTTAAATTCAAATTTACTTGATAATGATTCCTATAATCTTCAAATCTAGTATTTTATATTTTGGTCAAACAACATTGTATTTTGCTCTGCTCTCGGCTGCAATACTGACTTGTTAAGGGTGGTGACCGTGAGACATAACCCGTATCTCCACCATGTCGTAACTGCTTTCGGGCGTCCAGTGCGACCCTGCTACAGTTACTAAATGTATTGCCGTTCCTGGTCCTCGTTGTCAATTACGCCCTGACATTGTCACTCGCCTTGTCCGCAGCGGCTCGGCTCCGCCAAGGAGTGATTGGTCTAACGACACTTACTCCGAGTTGTCTCTATCAGCATTCACACACGCATAATAAAGAAACGCAACACCAGTTTATACTCACATAGTTTTACTTACTCTCAGCCCATCTATCAATACAGAACAGGATCAGCCTGGCCAGGCTCGTCACTAGCTGGGGGAAACTTAGAACGATCGGGATTCGACTCGATCGACTCTAAACCGCGCTCTCTTCTCCTAATGTTGAGGGTATCATTTTATAGTGTTCGAGCCTGACCTGTCCTTGTCACATGTCTCAATACCTCCATTTGATTCGTTACAAGTTTAGATCTGACCATGAACTCATGTGTGTCGCCATCGGAAAAATACCAAAAGCCTACGTGCCAGATTGCTCATCTCTCTATTGATTTTGTGACTCGCTCCGAAGCTCCAAATGGATTATACCTTGTAATTCCCCATTTGTTTCATTAACTCATGGACGATAGCCAGAGACCAATCCAATGATAAATGTGAAATGTCTTTTCTCTATTGATTCCTTTCCAATTACAAGTTCTGTCACGAACTATATCTAATGCAATTCCTCATTGCAGCTATAATGGTTCTATTTATTATCATTAGTTTCTGAGATGCATTTTTAACCTTATAACAAAATGAATTCACTGTAAAAAGGTGTTTAGGTATAAAAGAGGTGTTTAGGATTCATGTTTAAGTCTCAAAAGTAACAGAGACTGTGTATGTACTTAACTCAAGATCATTTTAGATTACTAACTATGAGATGAGATGATGATATGGCGCGCCAGGTCATGAAACAGTATGAGTGAGTGAGTTTGATTTTACGCCGCTTTTAGCAATATTCCAGCAATATCACAGCGGGGGACACCAGATATGGGCTTCACACATTGTACCCATGTCGGGAATCGAACCCGGGTCTTCGGCGTGACGAGCGAACGCTGTAACCACTAGGCTACCCGACCACCCCCTGAAACAGTATGAACTCAGTCTTGGAGTACAAAACAATAACCTGCCTGGAACCCAAGTTTCAATGTCTACAGTTTGCAAATATTCAGTTTTGGCGAATGAGATAAGCTATGTATATAAAATCAGTGTCTTCACATATATATTTGAGAAATGGTCACCAAAGTTGGATAACTTTTGGCCAATGACCATATATGTCAAAAAAGATGTTTTGAATGCAAATTTAGCTGCTAAATGATACGTACATTTTAAACGTCATATGGACCTCGTATGACACGTTCATTTCCTCACATGCATACATTTGGGAACCACTGTCCTATCGTGGGCTTATATGGTTAATATATATTCATTGAAGAGAGGTCACCGGCCCATAGTTCACAACAGTTTATGTTATTCCAGGTGTAAGAAGTAATATTCATGTAAAGGAATATGAAACTAGTTTTAATAGTATAAACATATATATGTAAGGATAATATGTAAGGATGTCGTGAAGTGAAAAATATGAATGCCTCGCGTAAGGGCCTGTCACCCCTAGCCGATTCGGGTCGCCGGATTAAAGGTTAAAGATTAAAGGCGCCGACGGCACTTTATCCTGCGCTGAAATACACCTTTTCCGTTACATCATTATTGCCTCACGTCATGAATCTGTTCAAATTACCTACCCCCGTGATCTAACATATACTTAGTAACATCGTTCTATGATTCCCTTCTATCAAATATTGATCGGTGATCAGTTTCGTTAAACTTGTTTCATAACTGAATATAATTCCCTGAAATATGTCAACATGGTGTCAACCATCTCTCATGCCCCAACGTATTCAAACGACTGTGTACGTACCACAGCATCCAAACAGTTTTCCGAGATGGGCGTTGGTGCCATGGGAATTATATATGTTATATCTGAGCAATCCGTGAAGGGTTTCATAACCGCATGTAATACTGTTGCTCAGGGAAAGGCATTTTGCAAAATACTGCTGTCAAATAATACAACCGCTGTTTCTCTTTCTCCGCCATTGCACGTCCCAGGCCGTCGATTCACGTCAGTGACGGCATCATCTAGTGCAACCAACTCGGTCATCAGTGCTAAGCATACTGTTTCATGGCTCGCAGTTACCGCAATGAGCTAACGTTAGTAGTGGAAACATTGTTGCCCTTCAGGACAGAAAACACTTCAACTCACAAAAAACAGCAACACAAAACTACGGCTATGTTTACATGTGTTAGATCGGCCCCACAATGCACTAGTGGAATGTTTTGAGTCACGTGATCAAGGTGAAGAAAATTGATAAAAAAATGTTCAATATTACTTATTGCTGCATGGGATTATGGATAATCACTCTGAACCGATATTAAATGTGACTTATTTAACCATATATTATCCATTTTAGTTGTGCTTTATTATGTATAAACATGACGCACGTGCTTTAACTATAATAGTTGTTATCACATCGTATCAGGTTAGGTAAAGTGAGGTTAAACCTCACTAAACCTTAAAGAGTATTTGCGTCATATAGCGACGCGCATGCACGTGTGTGTGTGTGGTTGCTTGTACGGGTCCGGACTTCTGTCAGTTATACAGTGTTAACCCACTGAGATACCATAGTTAACATGGATACCCCACTCAGACGAAGTATACAGTCTCCGAGCCGACTAGTCCTGGTTGTATCCCCCTAATGCCGAACGCAAGGCAGGGTAACAACAAGTACCATATTTTAACGTGTTTTGTATGGCGCGACTGGCACTGGCGACTGGTGCAAGTTGGCCTTTTTGGTAGAGCAGATAAACTTACTGTACTATAGTATTGTTCAGAAACTGATAGGAATGGCACTTGTGCATGTTGTTGTGGGAGCTGTTCAGGTGATGTGGAAATAATCCATTCGCATTTGGTTCAAACAAAATGTTACGTCTTTTCAACCTACACGTATCAATTAAGGTACGAACATATGATATTTATGGACAGATACAGATATAATATATGCTAGTATTAGATATTAATTGTCAATACTTCCATATATATTTGGAAAGGAGAATCGATCGATCTTAGCCCATCAACCATATTATGTGAGTACATAGGAATACTTGACATGTCATTCACATCGTTGTATGTCATTACATAAGGGGTTGACAAAGTAATAGTAGAGGAAGCACTCCTTCAAGCAGTCAATGCTTGATGTAACCGCTGATCTGCTGAATGTAGAAGTACACACATCCTTATTTACAACAATAAAGCATGCTCATGGTTTGATTGTTTAATGTTCGTAGGAGAGTCAACAGAAGGAATCAGCACACTGTATTGACATTATATCATGGTTGTGATATATATTAACCACCGTGAACAGAACAAATACAGCGCCATGGAAACATCAGACTTCGAATCTTCAACCAATGACCACATTTGCACAAGAATAAGTGGTCTCGTCGATACCTGAATTTCAACAAAAAATATTAAAAAGTATAATAGTACCCCACTAATAGAGCCCTAGCCGCATAACACCCTTGTGTTTTCAACACTAACACTTGACCAAATGTCTCAACTGCAGCTGTTAAGTGTAATAATGACCCACTCATAGGGTGCTAATCGCGCAACAGAAGAATGCTTATAGTAGATCCATTTATACAAGACAAGCATTGGGCAAAATGCCTCTTCCTCAAACATCTTGAATTGGACTTAGTGAATATTGATGGCCATTACAAACCTTAAACACGTATTTATAGGGCCCCAAACAACCCTGTTGACTGCTGTGTTTACAAGTTAACACATATCTTTGCTCTAATACTTGATGTTAACATAAATATTTCATGATCCCCTACTTTTTTCAAAGAGTATATTTAGTGAATGCTTACCAGAATCCTTTCGTGGATTCTGGAAACTCTAATAATGAGCCTTTATGTGGTATTGTACTGGAGCTCCTTTCCCGTGGAAGACGTTTCAACATCGTAGATTGTGATTAATGATCATCACAAGTCAAAACATATCGAAAAGCATCACCGATGCTGTGAGATATCAAACAGTATTCACTCACTCTCGAAAACTGTAACTGGTAATGAAAGCGTTTCACGTTGCATGTGGTGAGGGGAAACCCCCCCAAAAAACCACAACTAATATCCTATGAATAGTTCGGAATACTGATAACAGCTACATTCTTTGATTAAAATTATGTTTCGAAAACATAACTATTGCTTTAGAGAAATGTCAAAATATGGTCATAAACAATAAATAAGTTGGAAATATATTTCTAGACATAAATGAATTTGGACAATGCAGTTATTATTTATATGTTACAGGCCATGGGACATACAGTTTTGCGCACTGGCCAAAGGTTACTATTTTTCGTTTTGACTTTTGGCCGACCTCGAACATAGAAACAAAAGTGAGCTGAAAATACGTATGCCAGAATTCGACATAAGTACTGACCAGGATGACCTGTGGGCGGCCAGACTGGCACAGTTCCAGCTCTCCATGTACACTGAGGGTCACCAAGCTCCTGGCCATTGGTAAATCCGTCGTTGTCAGAGTCCTTTTGACACAGAGCTACAGTCCACGTATGCGATGCAGCCTGGAAATCCTAGGGAAAATACCAACGTTTACAAGTTACTGGTGACATATGATTTTAACACAGTGTCAACGTGTATGTTGACGGGGAATTAGCTCTTGGGGGAAAGAAGGACAAAATCGACATAACTGTCCAGGAACGCTTTATGCACAACATGTAAACAATAAACAACAATTGCACAATGAGCGGAATACCTGCTCTGACAACACAAACACAGCAATGAGCGGACCTTCCAGCTCAGGCGTACAAGAGGTCAGCGGAGCTCAAGCTCACCTCAGGGCGTTTCCTACGAGCGGCACATCCTGCTTGAGGTCGTCCCTATGCCAGCACTCGGAAAACCAAGCCTGACTAACACCGTAGTAACTGTGTAATGGTAGCACATATATAGTACTGAACAATGGAAATACAATGACGTTGCTCTGGACATGGGACTTCCGGGGGTGACGTACCGACACAACTCAGGGGATGAACAATTAAGGCAATAAATGTCATACTATAAATAACAGTAATTTACGGGAAGTGATAAAGTAGCCCAGTTTAGCTGTCAGTCAATATACAATGAAATGTTGGTGAGGATTAACAACGGGGATTAGCGCCTAAAACGTAATGACAATTAAGTTATGGAGACATGGCTACAGGGTAATTTGCCTTTGGAGTCAAATGTACTTCAGACAATGGTAGTCGTAAATCAGTCGCTATGACAATAGTTTCAGTATTATTCTAGCAACATAACGACAAGTGACGCCAGGAATGGACATGCAATTTTGGATAATACCTGCAATACAACTCTGGAAAGGACCGCCTCCGTGGTCTAGTGGTAGAGCGTCCGCCCGGGGAGCGGAAGGTCTGGGGTTCAATCCCCGGCCGCGTCAAAAGACGTTATTAAATGATGGCACTTTTGGTAACCCTGTCTTGCGCTCGTCATTAAGGGGCTAAAACAAGGACTGGTCGGCTCGGAGTCAGTATACTGTGTCTGAGTGGGGTATTCATGTTAAACTGCGGCATGGTATCTCAGCGTGCTAGCACTATAAATGGGCATCAGTCCGGACTAGGACACACACACACACACACACACACACACACACACACACACACACACACACACACACACACACACACACACACACACACACACACACACACACACACACATACAAACGTGCATGTACGTCGCAATATAAGTGCAATAATCTTGGACGTGTCGTTAAACCCTATTTCACCTGACCTCTCTGGAAAGGAGAATCGATCGATCTTAGCCCATTAACCATATCACGTGAGTACTTGGGACCACTTGACTTGCAATGGACATGCCACGTGTTGCAAATGCTATCATTGTATGCTATTACATAAGGGATCGACAAAGTAATGGTTGAGGCAGGACTCCTTCAAGCACTCAGACTTCAGACCTTACGAGCAAACCTCTCCTTTCGGGAAAACACTGCAATATTTTCTCTTCACCGCTGTCTTTGACATTTACCATAGAAACCCATCATCTCTAGGAACCCAAACGTAGAGGATCTTGCTTTACAGAAATGTCTGCTCGGATTGGCAAAATCAAAACAAGGGAATTTGGTGAAGAAGTTTATCTTAGGCTTAATTCAATGATGGCCAAATAGCTAATTTCTTTCCACTGATTTACCCACCTAAACTGGAAATAAAAGGGTCCAGTGAACCAGCCTCATCTGTTTCATATTTAGAAATAAGCATACAGCTATAGAGCGACAAAAATATCAACAAGATAGTATGAACACACAATGCCATTTAGAAAGTTGTCAAATGTAACAAATGTTATATTTGGGATAACACTTTCTTGGTAAAGTGGAGAATCGCCTACTTTTTTTGGTTGAGTCCCGTCCGGGATTCGAACCACACGACAAGAGGGATGACTTCAACTTTCCAACAGTCAACATTTCCTTTATGTCGAGCAATATTCCAGCAACTCCAGCCTTTGCTGTCTACATTTCACAACTTCGGTACGATAGTGTGTGTGTGTGAGTATGGTTTTACGCCGCTTTTAGCAATATTCCAGCAATATCACGGCGGGGGATACCAGAAATGGGCTTCACACATTGTACCCATGTCGGGAATCGAACCCGGGTCTTCGGCGTGGCGAGCGAACGCTTTAACCACTAGGCTACCCGACCGCCCCTCGGTACGATAGAGTATGGTCTTTCTCTGAAGATTTCCAAGAGCATCACACGACGCTTGCTGAGAAAGGTGTTTGATCAGGCTTACAATATTCAAGTCATTTTTAAAGCTTTCAGAAAGTTAAATGACAGATATGTGGAGGACATTTCCAAATTAAACGCATCAGTGACAGAAATGATGTCCAATGCAATGCCCAATTGACTTGACTTTGCATGTGTCTCTGACCGGTGCCACCGGTGGGTCAGGATACGCTCACCTTTTCGCGAACACATTAATGATTTGATATGGTCGGAATCGTACAACGAACTCTATTTAAGCAGACGTTTCTTATGATTATGGAAATAGTCTTGTCGCTTTTATTTACCAGAAGCCTTCTGGATGACAAACCTAAGGCTTTGATTACCCTTACTTCTCATCCGGTAGGTTTACGATAATTATCAAACGAGATATCGTGGAACTTACATCGCACAACGCAACGTCCGCTGATTGTGTGTTCGAATCCCCAATTTTGCCCAAGTAAAGTTGGTCTAGGTTGTAGTCTTCACTGTCCCACCTCTATAAAGGCGGTCTGTGCGAAATTGAGTTTTGGAAAACCAGTGGTTTGATCCCCGCCGTTTGGTTACGATTACGACAAATCAGACAAGACGTCGTTCACAATATGATCTTTCCCAAACGACTGATTGCAAGCAGTATTTGTGGCACTATGATCGCTGTGTGTAGACCTTGATACATATTGTAAATAGCCGGTCCCCCACTTCTACGACAAACACTCGCTGCTTGTAAGGAGGGAGGTTATACGGGACGACACAATAACTAAATTGTGTTTAGTGTCAATCTTAACTGGATTAGGAGACAAAGCGATGACCCCACTCCTTACGATATGGTTAGCTTGCGCGAGTGAAATACAGATTATATTAAGCTCACTTTCTTGGTAACCTAATGTATTAGTAGCTGTGGTTAGTCTTCTGAGCACGACAACTTTGTCTCCAGACGTTTATACAGTTGCTGAATCGCCACTTATGCATTATTAGTGAAATATTCCAAGATTAACAAAGTCTCACTTTCACTATTTTACTGAGATCAAGCATGGACTTCATGATCAAAACACACCTTTTAACATGTTCTGATAGAGCTCCCAGTGATGCTGTTAAGTGCTAATTTAACAGTTCTCTAAATTGAGTTCATAGCAGAATCCTTCCGTGGATTCATTGGATTTGGTTTTGTACTGTTGTACTGGAGATTCCCGTGTTTTGTGTCAATATTAACTGGATTAGGACACAAAGACATGACCCCACTCCTTACGGTATGGTTAGCTTTCGCTAGGGAAATACAGATTATATTTAGCTCACTTTCTTGGCAACCTAATGTATTAGTAGCTGTGGTTAGTCTCCTGAGCAAGACAACTTTGTCGCATAACGTTAACATAGTTCCCATTCATCTTCCAAGTCTCACTTTCACTAATTTACTGAGATCAAGCATGAATACAAGACTGATGTAGAATCTTACCCTTCCGAATGGGTTCAGGTTCTGTGCCCCTCCCGTGTTTGCGTTGTTGTGTCCAACTGCATTCCATATGAGATCTGAGTCACAAGGATGTGGCACCAGTTTACCGTTGGGAATTTGATTTTGGTAAGGAGGCTTAGCAACCACAACAGCAATGACACACAACACGAGGGCTAGACAATGCAACATCATGATTGAGACTCCGTGGCTGTTCTGTTTGCAAGGCGTGCCCTTCAGTCGTTTTGTATAGGGTTGGCACGTGGTAATTAAGTGATAGTGTTTGGTCCAGATAGTCTTATCATAACACTGGGCCAATGATCGTTCTTCAGTATTCACAATCTCAGCTGAATGTAGTCCACGCCTGTATAACACAAAATTATCGTGACCGGTGTTCCACGCCGAACTGCCGCCATATATATCAAATAATCTGAAATCAGGGATGAGGACAACGAGGGGCGTCCAAACTTCATTTTGGTAAAATAGAAAATCCAGTGATCGTTACAAGAAACAAGAACATTTCATTATTTGTCGGTACGTACTGTAAGTTCTCCACGCTGCTATAGGACGAGGCATTAGCTACCGACCTTTACCATTTAAGAAATGATATGATAGTGTTACTAATTCTCCTCCTAATGTTTGTGAAGTTGATGTTTATTTGTTTATTTGGTAAAGACAGACAGGAGTGTGAAGGCCGGTACCAGATAATGGAGATGGAAACTGTGCACGTTAGTGAAGTTTTATTGGTAATGCATTATGCCACAGATCTGTTTTATTGAGACATGTATAGAAGTAAGTCTTGTGGGGCGCTGTTCAGTTATTGTGGGGACGATCTGCATGTTGCTGTTACAAGCTCGTCCTTCTAATATGATAGAACGGTGGGGTAGTCTAGTGGTTAAAGCGTTCTCTCGTCAGGCCAAAGACCCGGGTTCGATTCCCCACATAGGTACAATGTAAAGCCCCTTTCTGGTGTCCCCCGCCGTGATATTGCTTGAATATTGCTAAAAGCGACGTACAACCATCCTCACTCACTCACTCTAATATGATTATGTAAGTAAACGACCCTTAATAATGTGGAGCAGATTTGTAGTGGTTCCAAGTCACCTGTCCACACCTTGCTCATGTCAACTATAGTTGCTTTGTTGCACTGTACAATATAATCCACTTCTTACCACCTTAAGAGCTTATTCTGAGAAAGCTAAACGGTACATGTGCGAGTCGTTTTACATTAGGAACATAACCTACAATGTATTGTTCTTGCAAAGTAGAGATATTTGATTTGATTGTGTGAAAATTGATATTTGAAAACCCACTCTACGTATTCGGTTTAATTGTATATTTCAACCCACATGTATCAAATAGTTATATTTCTAAGGTAAGAATATATGGCATTCATGGACAAATGAGATATAATAGATGCTAGTCAGAGATCGTACCTGCAAACATATCTGGAAAGGACAATCGGTCAATCTTGTGAGTATGTGGGACTATTTGACATGCCATTGACAAGATCATGTGTTTCAAATGCTGTGAGTGTAGTCCATTACGGTTCATCTGCTGACTGGAGAGTCATACATTTCCTCAATGACAACAGTACTCGCATACTCATAGTTTGATTGTTTAATATTCCTTAGAGAGTCAACAATATGAAAGGAAACAATTGACTTTATCTCATGATCTCATGACAACACGTAACAAACACCGTCATGAAAGCATCGCATGTTCGCGAATCTTCAACCAATGGCCATATGTGCACAAGGATAACTGGATTCGTCGATGCCTGAATTGTAACAATAATAATAAATAAGCATAAAAATTTCCAAATTTGCGAGTGCTAGCAGCATAACATTCACGTCGCCCTGGCATGTATACAACACAAACACTGGACGAAATGTATCAATTGTTAGGTGTAAAAATGACCCACTTTTGAGCACTTGTACATATAAATTTCAATGTGAGAGAATAACAATTCTTGATTATCCGCCGAAACAGATTCCATCTAGCATTGGGCAAAATAGCTTTGAAAATTATAAAAATTTCAAAGCAATTTCATGTTAACAACGCAAGCATTGGACAAAATGGCCCAATCGTTAGGCTATCGTGAAATGAACTTCATGATTAAAACACACCTGTTATCATGTTCTGATAGAGCTCCCATAGATGTTGTTGAGTGCTATTTTAACAGTTCTCTAAATTGAGTTCATAGCAGAATCCTTCCGTGGATTCATTGGATTTGGTTTTGTACTGCTGTACTGGAGACCCTCCAGGTTTCCTAGTAAAACACGATTCAATTTCTCCCTCTCTCCAGAAAAGCACCAACAGTGATTAACACTACACCTTACATGTGGCGAGAGAGGTTAAGTTCACTGGCTAAAAGCAAAAGGAATCTGACATAAACAGGTAGGAATACTGGGAGACAGTATTAAAAAGACCATTCTCCTGATGTTGCATTGGGCACATAAATTTGCTTCTTCTTCTTATATATCTTGTGAAAACATAAATTTAAACTAAGAGAAATGCCAAAATATGGCCATAAACAATCATTTTATGATATACGTTGGAAACATATTTGACAAATGAGTTTAATTCGGATAATTCAGTAATTGCAAATATTTGACTGACCATGGGGCATCCATTTTCGACCGCTGGCCAATGAACGTGAAGGCAATGGGACAACCACCAGCAATCAATTTGGCCAAAGTTTTCTATTTTTCGTGTATACCGACATAGTAAGCCGTCGAAAATAAAAAAAGAAGTAAGCAGGAAATACGTATGGTAAGGACTGACCAGGATGACCTGTGGGCGGCCAGACTGGCACAGTTCCAGCTCTCCATGTACACTGAGGGTCACCAAGCTCCTGGCCATTGGTAAATCCGTCGTTGTCAGAGTCCTTTTGACACAGAGCTTGAGTCCATGCGTGTCCTTCAGCCCTGAAATCCTGGGAAAATACAAACGTTTACAATGATACTGGTGACATATGGTTTAAACATACTTTCAGAACTATTCCAGCACAATGAATCCACACAAGAAACCGGAACTCCGGACTTCGGTATTTTACCTTCTTAGCTACACTGGTAGGTGCTGCATACATTTTCTGCTGCCATTGGCATTAATCATAGATCGACGCAGATATTTTTGGATCAGTTATCTCAAGAAATCCTCATTGAGAGAAGCTTCCTATTCCAGAGAGCTCGTCTTCCGCTCGTCTTCCGAATGCCAAAGATAAAGTTCGAGTTCCTAACTTCCTTATCTGGCAAGTTCATGGCATCAGATCAAGTTCGTTTCGTTTCGTTTATTTGCTGCTTAACGTCGCAATCAGCAATATTCCATCACAATGACGGCGGTCTGTAAATAATCGGATTTGGATCAGACAATCCAGTGACATCATTAACATCGATCCAAAAAGTTGGGATACAATGACATGCATCAACCAAGTCAGCGAGCCTGACCATCCGATCCCGTTAGTCCCCTCTTACGACAAGCATGGTTTGCCGAAGACCAATTATAACCCGGTTCTTCATGAGCTCCATCAGGTCATGCGTAACGTCCGTTGATTGTATGTACGAATCCAAGTTTCGTTCAATGTGTCAACATGGACAGGTCAACACAAGAGATGATTTCCATCCACCAATCCTTGAACCCATACGCACTCACTCACTCATCCGCAAACAACCCAGTGGATGACGTGATAACTCGCCCTGGTCAGTAGTTGATCTACTCAGTCAGTATAACATTCCCAATATCACCAAGAGTAACTGGGTTGGTTCCGTAAGATATGAAATATTCTGGAGTTTTACTGGTAGGGAGGAAGAAGTGAGTTTTGTTCCGGCACCGGTACAGCGAAGGACACCAAAATGGTTCCACACGTTGAAACGCGCGAACTTACTTTTGTGTTTATAGGGCAAGTTCACACGGAAATGAACCCATTTTTCTTGTACTTTTTCCACATTAAAAGTGTTAACATAGAAGTGTCATAGACAAAAATATAAAAACATCAAATTTAATTAACATATTTTTTGCATTAAAACGATTTATATTTTTCACTTTTACCAAGTGTTCTATTTCCATAACAAAAACACCATGGCTTATGCCCCTTGCAATATGACGTCATTGGTGCCAATTGATAAACATTATGACGTCACCATGCTTTGTTAGAGCCGCTTCACGTGGTGTAGGTACAGTTTTGTGATTCTAGCGTCTCAGATGCCAGCCAGAATTGTGTTATGCTGAGTCACCACTGCGCCGGAGTGTGTCGTAGACCATGTTGTTTTACCGCAAACTGGTCGTTGATATCTTTTGCGTTGAGAATAGACAGGGACCGAGTTGAATTGGCACCAATTACGTCATAATCTAAGGGGGATAACTCAGGCCTATTTCGCTCGTAAAACGAAGGCTTCATAACGGCATATCATTTTCACACTATTGTGAGCTTCCTACTTTCACTGTGAAACAAAATGAGTGTATATTTTCAAACACAGATACTAACTAATTCTAAAATTGCGTTTTGTTTAGAAAAAGAAAGAAAGTGATTTTTGCGTGTACACTTCCCCTTTATTCAATTCCTGAATTGGTATTCTTCCACTCACTCACTCACTCACTCACTCACCACCAAAACACCGATTCACAGACATATACACTCACCAATTCACTCACCAACCGAAACCCACTCACTCGCTCACTAACCTTTCTCACTCAAACACTCACTCACTCACTCATTTATTCGCTTACTCACAAACTCACAAACTCGCATACACAAAGAATCAGCAATTAAACAATTAAACAATTGGTGATGTTAACGAACGACGATGAGAGAACCATGTTGTACAGGCACCTCGGCTTGTAACATAAATTTAGAGACGACTCTCACAATGCCAGGAACATCTATCTGTTTAAAAGATGAAAAAAATATGCCACTTCTTTCGAAATAGTCAAGTTTAAAGATGTAAATTTAGATAATATGTAGCTAACATGGTTAGTACCATCATATTGTATCAGTGTTGTCGTAAAATATTTTCACGTGAAGGCTTAATCGCTTTTTATGCAGAATAGTACAATCTTTCAACATAAACAAATTATAACTTTCAACAAATGTACTAAGATCAATCATAAAGACAAGATCTAAGAAGAATTATACCCGTCCGAACTGGTTCAGGCTCTGAGCTCCTCCCAAATCAGCATTAGTGTGTCCAACAGCATTCCATACAAGATCTGAGTTACAAGGATGGGGCACCAGCTTGCCGTTGGGGATTTGATCTTGGTAGGGTGGCTTAGCAACGACAACAGCAACGACACACAACACGAGGGACAGGCGGAGCAGCATCTTGATTCTCCGGCAAGGACAACAGTGCAACGGCATTACAAGGCCTGTTTTTCGGCCTTTATCATCGCGTAGGTTGCTGTTCACGTGGTGCTAAACTGATAGTATCTGGTCCAGATGGTCTTATCGCAACAGAACCACGTGCACTGGGCCTATTACCGTTCTTCGGTATTCATTATTCCAGGCAGACTGTAGTCGACTTCTATATACAATTGTTGCACGGTGTACGAAAAATAGAATTAAATGACAAAGAACAATAGAATAAACGGAATATACATCATTTGAACGGTGAGTCGATCACGTCCAGAAGTCCTACCCGTTGTTGTCTGCATCCAGATGGCTTCACATTATTCTGATGGAAAAACAGAGTGAGTTTAACGCCGTTCTGAAAAGGATCCTGGGTTTATCGAGGCGTGTCAGCTTAAAGCCATATTTATTGTCACATAAACATGCTGTTTGGCACTGTAATTACCGTTGAGGTTAAGGTGCATTGCTTAAAGTTAAAGATAAGGGCTCACGGTGAAAATGTTGAACAATGGCCTTGTTATCAGGGGCGTAAACTGACAACCTTGGCTTCATGACTTGACATGCCATTTCTAGGACAGACAATTAGGACGACCAGCGGAGCGACATTGTGACTCTGTGATAATGTAAATCCTCACTGTCTGCAACTTGACATGTTGTTTTTTTGGTATTTATGTGAACATTTGCACCTGGTCCCGAATATTACGGGATAACAGGACCCCAGTGTTAATAATTGTAGTCAACCGTATCGTGTTGGTGAGCTAAATGTCCTTTATATGAATACAACCATGACTGCACTTTTGTCATAATGTATCACATTTGGAGTAAACGGTCAACCTACCAATCAAATGTACAAACTATATAAACCAGGTATCGTTCTTTGGAATCGCTTAAGGTTGTACAGTAAAATCTTTCAAAACAGTTCTAATTACGCGTTTGTGTGTCTAGTTGTATCTGTGCGTGGATAGATCGAGCGAAGGCAGATGCAGGAATTTGAAAGGGTGGTAACTGCGGGTTACCCTATTTATGAAGTTTAACAAACACACATGATAGAAAGACTCACACCTTTACGTTTGCCTTGTGGAGACTGTTCACATAATGTGGGTAACACACCTACTGCAGTTACAAGTACGTCGATCCAAATGTGATTACTTGTCTTTGTAAATGTTTCAAAGAATGGTAATTGGTAATGATGTGAGAACTATTCTTGCACCACCAGTAAAGCTTAACCACTCAAGATGTTAAGCAACAATGATCAAATATAATTTTTCCATCGGGACATGTTGATGTACTGTGCAATGCATTCAACTTCTTTTATCGATCAAGTGTCCACCATCTAAGCTAGCTTCACGACTATAACTTTCGTGATTGTAGTAAATTAGCGAGGGGAACATTCGTCTGTGTTTTCAGTGTAGAACGGTGTTATATTTAATAACTGTTCAATTTAAAAGTAAAACGTAACTATATAGTTCTCTACCTACCTAACTATACATGATATGCCAGACTAAAATATTAAATAAAAATAAATATTTGGAAAGTACAATCGATAGATGTTAACCCATACCGTTTGACATGACTATTTGAGATGTCAGTTTTCGTGTTGCATAATCTATCAGTGTCTGTTGTTACATAAAGATTAATAGCGGAGGGGGGACGCTGGAAATAACCACTGATCTGCTGACTGCAGAGGTACACGATCCTCCTCGCATAGCCATAGTTTGATTGTATTATGTTATCAAGATCATGAATAGTGAATGAGTGAGTGAGTGAGTGAGTGAGTTGGGTTTTACGCCGCTTTTAACAGTATTCCAGGTAAGGAAAGCCCGAAGTGATGCAGGTCTCAGACGTTCACCACTTCGGTGAAACCCACGAGCACGGGTATGGTGCTGACAAACCTAGAAACATAATCGGGACGAACCGGGATTCGAACCCACAATCATAGGTTTCTGGTGTGGCCTCTTGCGACTGGGCTACCCCTGACCCCAACATCATGAATAGAAACATTGTTCTGACATTATGGCATACACTGATATGTACAAGATGTGTTCTTTTTTACATACTGCAGAGTGAAAGAATGAGTTTTCTGAAGTTTTGAAAAGGCGTTAACAAGGCAAAATGATTAGAGATGGTCATTTATGGAGTTATTGTCACTATTTAACGTTTGTTATTCTCTCAAAGATGTTTCGTTTTAAACGTTATAGTTGTTTTTTTTACGCCATTTTTGTTACTTGACCAGCGTGTATTATTTCGATTCAAACAGCGGTCTCCTAGTTTTCAAGAATATTTTTTGTTAAAGTTTATTTTGAATCATTACCAATTACCATTCTTTGAAACATTTACAAAGACAAGTAATCACACACACACACGCACAAACAGAACCCTGCTGCTATGTACTGTTTGTATTGTCAGCAAAGATCGTTCTAGTTGTATTATATTCACAAGAGAAACAAGCAAAGTGATCTAGTGAGGATGATTGATCAAACCAATTATGAAATTAATGACATGACAAGTTGGTTTCAAAGGGGTTTGGAAGAGACAGTATCAAGACATTTTACTTAATTTTATAGTGTTCGCTGTAGAGTTTTTTAGGCAAAGGTTAGGTTGGCATGACCAAACATAGGCTATGTAATAAAAGGGTTGAAATTGAGTTAACTAATATACAAGTATTTGCAATGTCTAGAAACACACAAACTTTGAAACAAACATTCTGTGTGTATTTTTAATTTTGTGGATTATACCTTGCACTGAACCATAAAAATAATGGTAATACTTTATATAGGAATATTAGTAGTTTTAGAAAACGCTTTACTCGTAAAGACGTCTACGTGCACGAAATGCATCACGGCATAGTGTGTTATGAACATGACGTGTGTGTGACAGGTGTTTCATTGTATCAACATGTCGTGCCCATGCCAACACGCACGCTCCATTAATATGTCATTATATATATGCATGTTAACAGTAGACACCCAACCTGTGCTGACATGTGACGTCTTGCTGAGCTGGGACAGGGCAAAATAATGTAAATGAGGTTATTTTCATATTGTTGTATAACGGCATGGGATGTATAAAACGGTCTGTGAATGTATACAAAATGTAATACTGGGATGAACTAACGGGTCAACTCTACAATATTGTATTGAATTCAGTTGTATTCTTACCATAGGCTATAGTCTTAACCAAATACACCTGATATGTCCGACAAAAAAACAATACACATTGCTTGAAAAATATAAATTTTAAAACCCAACGACGCGGAAGACGTTATGATTAAGCAAACAATCATATGTTTCGAGCTAGGTTACAACAACATTATTTGTTTGTTTGTTGTTTACCTCCGCACTTAGCAACACTCCGGTTATACCCAACAACCTTACATTATGTTTATGATATATGTTCTTTTCATTACAGATCCGTATGGTGAAGCATTGGCTGTCAGAGATGCGGGGTTTCACATACAATACACGCAGACCTTAAAATTATCACGGAAGGTGGTAAAGATACAAGACACGGAACGCTGGAGATATTATCCTGACACACGTGACAAGGAAAAGTTGTATGTGTGTATTTGCAGTATTTACAAATTTGATTATGACAGACCAAGATAGCCCATACTTCAACAAAGACAACAAAAATATAAGGAAATTTCACACTTTTGATTAATAAGATATGTGTTCTACTGATATACTAGAATTAGTAAAGTGAACATAGACGGTAGAAATGACCGTCATTCATATTTATAATGGTATGCATGGCCCATGTCAGAAGTACACAACTAAGGTCTATGTCAGCTCAGCTGAGTTTGGTTTTTGTACCAAATGATAGCTTTTATTACCAATCTATAATTATGTCTCTGTCGTAAATTGCACTGGGGTGTAAATTTAATGTATACCAGCTAGCACTGACACATTCGTGTAGATGGATTATCACAATCTGAGTTATGGTATTATCTTTAAAACGGTTTTATTGGTATAAATATATTTTGGGTTATCATCCATTTTCTAAGACACCCCAACACACACGTCTGTGTTATGTCAGATTCGCGTGAAGTACCTTTACTTCGTTAACAAGGGATAACTGACCAAAAAAATACAGGTTGCTAGAAGAAACATGGATTCCTCAATAAACATTCACAACCATATTATGGTATATATACCACAAATTATAAACGCAGAGATAGATAAGATTCGAACGAATTATTTCGAAATTTGTCACCGAAAAGAAAGCTATCGTAAAAAGGTCAACATTAAATACTGACATAAATTGTTTATGAAAACTTAAAGTTATAAATATTATGGGTTTTAAATAACCTAAATTGGTGACTTACATATATTCTGGTTTATCTTACCTGAAAGAGACTAGTATGTTGCTCCCACACAATTTAATCAGTTGAAACTAGAAATGTTATATTTAGCACATCGTTGGTACTCAACTACATGTGTTTTCATTCAGTTGATAAGATTGTAATTCGTCCCATTTTTTTAATACCTTAAATTTGAACGAATTTTGAATATTAAAGCTTGTTTGTTGTTTAACGCCGCATTTACCAATATTCTACCGATATGACGGCTGCTCGTCCATAATTGAGACATCACCAGACAAACCAGTAGTAGATATTGTAAGCAATGATCCACGTGGTAGAGGTACGATGGCACCAGTCAAGCAGGTTACCACCCCATCCATTTTACTATAAGATGCAGGTAGAATAAGAGTTCTCGTGTTCATACGCCAATATGGACACCTTCGAGAGGGGCACGAGTTTATATTCGGCTCGTCCCGGAATGGGACAAGATGGTTACGAATGGGCGAAACTTCGAGTTTCATCACAGTGCTCGCCCGCATACGGCCCGTGTGACAATGAACTTCATTCAACTTTACAACGTCACAGTACTCCTCTGGCCCGCCACGAGTTCAGGCATTAGTTCCATGGAACATCTCTGGGATGCCATTGGCTGTCGAGTTAGGGATCGGGACGTCCAACCACAGACATTACAATTGGATGTCATGATCTTTGCTCTTCAGGGTGAATGGCGTGCTGTTCCATGGGCTGTCATCCAGAAGTTAATGCGGAGTTTGCCACGCAGATGTCAGGATTTCATCCGTAGACACGTGGGGCACAACATATACTGACATTTGATTCTGTCACGTCTTGACTTTGTATGCGCGCTATTTCAATTGTACTGACAGTAAAGCTTATTTCCCTTTATGTTTCATTGTTCGCTGGTTGGTTTCCATCAGTATATTTGTAATAGAAATGAAGAATATTACATGTATCTTATTTGTGAACGAAATGGACATAGAAAAGTAATTTGTAGCACACTGCCATACTAGCATTTAATTTATCTTAAAGTTTGGTTGGTTGGTTTGTTGTTTAACGCCGCAGTCAGCAACATGCCAGCTATATGACGGCGGCCTGTAAATAATCGAATCTGGACCAGACAATCCAGTGATTTATATCATAAGCATTGATCCACGTAATTGAGATCGATGACATGCATCAACCAAGTCAGCGAGCCTGACCACCCGATCCCGTTGGTCGCCTCTTACGACAAGCATAGTCTCCTTTTACGGCAAGCATGGGCTACTGAAGACCTATTTCACCCCGGATCTTTACGGGTCTCTTAAAGAAGTAAGCAATGAGCAAACGCATCAATTTTACAGAGGACATTGAGTTTTCCGGATCCGTATGAGTCATGTCAATTAATTGCAAAATCATCACCAGTAAACAAGTACAAAGGAAAACTCTGAATCCGCTGAAGAAAAGATAATACAACCAGTTTTGCATTATATCAAGGGAATTGTAATGGTGGGAAATCCGTCCTGGTAACCATTTTGGCGTTATATCCAGGGGCATCGTAACAAGGGTAGACTGTTGAGAGTTCAAAGCGGCCTTAAATCACATAATCAATCAGACAGCCAACATATGTGTGCTATACATGCAGGTAGTATTTATGAAGTCAACTTGTTAAGGAGTGTGTGAGTGAGTTGGGTGTGACGCCGCTTTTAACAGTATTCCAGTTATATCGCGGCGTGTCAGCTTAATGTGGGAGGAAAGCCCAAAGTGATGCAGGTCTCAGACGTTTACCACTTCGGTGAAACCCACGAGCACGGGTATGGTGCTGAGAAACATAATCGGGGCGAACCGGGATTCGAACCCACAATCATAGGTTTCTGGTGTGCCCAAGGGACGCAACTCTGCACAGCGAATAGCGGCGCCTTAGACGACTGGGCCAACCCAGGATCTTGTGAGGGGCCTGTGATATTTCTGACCAACAAAACCCTTCCGGAAGAAACAGATATAAACTGAATTACAACATTCACAGAAAACCACTCCCCACCCTCCCACCCACGTTTGTGACGGGTGCCATCGGTGGGGCGGGATAGGCTCACCTTTTCGCGAACACCTGGTACTATTTGATAGTGATTCATAAACACATGCTCATGATATAGTCGGAATCGTGCAATCGACTCTTCCTAATGCAGAGATTTCTATTGGATATGGAAAGGGTTTTGTCGTTTTATTTCCCAGGATATAACATAACAATGGAACAAAAGAAGGGTGCATGAATCTTTGAACCTTTGGCACTTGTCATGTCAGTGAGTAATTGTCACTTCATAGTCTTTGTTTGATATCAATTCTAATTGATAAATGAATTGGTTAATAGGGTTGAATAAGTATTTCGACATCAGCTACATTGTAACAATCCTCTACTATGTACATGAAGTTAATAATTCAGTTCTTCTCTATGCTAGTTTGCGAGATATGTAACGCTTCCTCTTGTTCATCAAGCCCACTGTGTATAACTACCTTCTTAGCCTCCACAAATAACAACAATGAAGCTCAATAGTCCAACATGTTCCATAATGTATATAAGCTATTATACAAAAGTATATCACTCGCAAAAAAGGAAAAGTATATTGCGCTTTTATTGATTTTCGAAAAGCATTTGATATGGTTGATAGGAGTAAGTTAATGTATATTTTATTGCAAAATGGTATTCATGGCAAGTTTTTATGTATTATCCAGAGTATGTATAATCATGTGAAAGCAACTGTCACATACGATTATGGCAAGAAAATTACTGAGTATTTTGATAGTTCATGTGGGGTAAGACAAGGTTGTACTCTTAGTCCAGTACTGTTTTCTTTGTTTATCAACGAATTAGTCATATGTTTGGAAAGTAAATTCCAGGATGGTGTTTTTATCTCAGAGGAAATGTTAAATATAATTGCCCTGTTGTTTGCCGACGATTTAATACTTGTTGCAGACAGTGTATTAAAATTACAAAAGCGTCTTGATGAATTATATTTATACTCTGATAAATGGGGTATGGATATTAATACTGAAGAGAGTAAAATTATTGTGTTTAAAATGGGAGGACCCTTGTCAAAAAATGAGAAATGGTATTATAACGGTGAACGTATGAATACGGTTAATGCCTATAAATATTTGGGACTTGTTTTCACTCCCAAATTAATTTGGACTAAGGCCTGTAAAACTCTATGTGAGCAAGCAAGCAAAGCACTTTGGTCAGTTAAATCGTTGATAAGACGTTATGACATTTCGGTTACGGAAGCATTCTTTATATTTGATAAAAAATTGTTCCGATATTAATGTATGGTGCTGAGATTTGGGGATACCAAAAATGGAATACGATTGAAATTGTTCACCGCAAATTTTGTAAATTTTTACTTCACACGGGCTACAGGACTGCAAATGCAGTAGCCTATGGTGAATGTGGTAGGTATCCACTTCATACTTTTTATTATGTAAAATGCATTAAATATTGGTTTAAGATTTTGCAAATGAGTCCAAACAGATACCCATACCAGTGTTATAAAATGTTATTATCCATTGCTGATAGAAAACGTCCTAACTGGGCATCGCATATCAGACTTTTGCTAAGTCATTATGGTTTTGGGGATGTAGTCCGGCAGAGAGGACAAAATCCAAGAATTGGGGGATAAAGTTTTTTTTATTGCTGGATTTGTTTAAGTACACATTCTAGGTTATGAAATTGACTGATGACACTCTGTCATCTTTGGGCATTTTAAAATATTCAAGATGGCCGCCAAGATGGCCGCTAAAACATGAAAATATCTCTTCCGTGCTAATTGTATGGAATATGGGACTACTTTTGGTGCATATCACTATTGTTTTGCCTTCAACATATTAGAATATGTTATTCTTAATGAAATAGTTTCATTTGGAAATGTAATTAATCAAAATAAAAGGCAATATTGTCTATGAAAGCCCCCAAATCAGTATATATCGTTATATATACATTTGTTATTATATTATTCAGTGTCAACTGGGATGCTTGTGAATTTTCTAACGATTGTTAATGTTCTATAGTTACAAAATAAGATAAATTCCCACTGCATTTTGAAATCAAATTATAAAAAACAATAAAGATAAATAAAAATAATAGTAACCTCAAAAGAGGTGCAAATAAAGCAAAACCTATTATGTCTGTTATACACATGGTTATGTTAAATTGTGTTAAATACTTTTAAGAAATTCATGCCAAAACAAACTGGGCCAAAAAAGATTGGGCCAACTTTTTTGGAAAAAAAGAATGGAACAATTAATGACTGGTCCCTTTCAATGGCTGCCTCAAAGCTTGAACTTGACATCTCAGCATGCACTGCAAACACGAAAACGACGTTTTTTTCCGTATATGGTCATCGGACGGAAAAACGACTAAAAATTCATTAAAATTGATTAATTGGTTAGCGTCTAGAAAGTGTCCGGAAAAGCGTCGAGTTTTTCAAGCGTAAAATGGACGGAAAAACGATGCTTTTTGCTCCGCCTTGTACAACTGTTAACGGCCAATCAGATGGCGCTGGTCCCCCGACGCACGTGATGCCCAAGGCTTCTTTTCGGAAGCATTAGGTTTCGTATTTCTGGCATGCCTTGCTCTAGTATCTGTCGCGCGCAGTGCAGCGAGATTTGCTGATTAGTCAGTTTTAGGATATGTAACATGGTAATGGAATTCAGACACGCGCCAAGAAGTCAAACCAAACCATGCTACCAAGTTTATTGAGATAACATATCCCTCCGCTATGCACAGTTACCCCTATCGGATAATGGGTTGTGTTTCATTTGGTTATAACAGTAACTAATTTTGTAATGTGAAGTTTACACGATATACGGCTTTTCCATAGGACGAGAGGTGGGTCACGTGACGTTTATCAGGTGACTGTATTCTTGAAATTACGTAAACACTGACTACTTCCACATTCCTGGGGAAAACCCTGGGAATTCCCAAGTACGAATTCATACAGAAGCGTTGTTTTTCATCATTTAGACCCTTTAATTTTGAACGTAGCGTCTTAGCATACTCTGGGATAAGTCATAGAGTTTGGTTGCATGCCCGTTCAAGGATACCCATCCTAGAGAAAAAAAACAAACCCAAAAATCCAAACTATCGTAGTGACAATCTACAGCAATCTATGAGTTTACCTTAGTATCTATTTGACACATCTTTACAATCACCTTTCAATGATCGGCCAATTGATCAGTGATGACAAAGGCTTGAAAACGCCACAGGTTAATTAACAACTTCGGAAATATCTCCCGTCACGTTTATCGTGTCGGCCATTTTGTACTTGATGTAAATGTATTACAACGCTCTGTCATTGTGATTGACTTACTGAGGTAGTTCTTAACGGACCTTCTCATCTAATGAGGATATTTTTTGGAATACATTTCTTGTAAACAAACTAAAACAGATGTTCCTCGCTTTGGGGGGAACTATTTTATTCCGGAATGGCCTATTAAAGCTAATAGTAAGTCAAGGCACAATGCGTGTATATGATCTGTTATTATATGTGTTTAACAAATACGGTTTTGGGCGTTAATAAAATACACTGACGCAAGTATATTCTAATCAAATCAATTGGATAATTGAATATGCTTTATTTTACATATTACATAACATCACTACACAAACTTTGGACAGTTGAAGTAACACACTACGGTGATCGCATTAAACACCACTTTGAACAGTATTTTAGTTATATCACGGTGTATCAGACTGATGTGGGATAAAAATCTGAAGTGGTTCAGGCCATCCAACGGGTGTTCGCGAAAGGTGAGCGTATACTGCCATACAGGTGGCACCCGTCACAAACACATGCAAGGACAAGTCAATTGTTCACCTGAACAAAGCACGGAAACACACAATGATGCCCGTCCTCACT